TTTTTGAAAATAAGCTAATGTAATATAAAATTTTAACCAATTAAAGTTTATAAGTTATAGATTAATATGTATCAAAACTTTCAATTTTTTAAAAAATGTCTCAGAACCCCATTTTCCTAGCAAACTTCCCATATATTATCTTCTCCTACCTCATTCTCTCCTTCTTTAGGGGTTACTCGACTTATACTTCAACAAATTCTCTGATCAAGAACTAATATAAATACCTGCTTTTTACTAAAATTATACCTTTTTTAAAAGCGCTGTCATTCTTTGTCTCTTTTCACTTTATTTGTCAAAAGCTTAAGTAATGCTAGAGTGTGCTGGCTAAGTTCATTATTGCTCATCTCTTTATTGAGTTTGTAGTCTGCAACGTATTTTGTTACAATCGCAAACATGAAAATGTAGATATGAAGTAACTATTAGATTATGTGTAACCGTTAGGTTATACTACGCATAAAAAAGTTCAATTCAAAAAAATATTCCTGATAATTTAATACATGATCCTTCTAGTACTCATTCATGATCGATAAAAGGTCAGATGTGCAAAAAAATAATATAACCTTTGATCTAGTCAAAAAGGGTATTTCTTCGATTTGAAATCTGCAGATAGATATAATATGCGAAAAAATATATAGTCATAGGACCCCATCCCAAGGTTATGAATAGTCTAAGACCTAGATATTAAAATACTTAGTAAAATATTTGTGCTAGAGCTAAAATGTGTTCTGCTTCTAAAGCATTTATTTTGGTGAGTGCATTATAAATATAACCAATCTACACTTTGAAAGAGTTAAATTTAGGTGATAGAGGAGTTTTATAAGCATGTCATTCCTTTAAGCTTTTGTCTTTTCACACTCCCAAGTTATCCCTATTAATGTAAACAAATTATTACTAGAATAATTCATTTAAATTAGATTCTGAAGTGAGGATCGTTTATTTTTTTCTAGAATAAATAGACTCACTTTTCCTATTACAGTAGATTCTACACTAATAGAAAACCTTTTATGAATATCTGATCTACTAGCTAGGATAGATAAAAGTGGAATTAGGGCTAGGTGGTAGAAGTCGGCTAAGATATCTAATTCGAATTCACCAATGCATATTGTTCTAATATCTTTTAAATAATATGAAAGTCTATTAGTATATCTGAAACCTTCTTGAATCAGCTTCTGGAATAACTTCCCATTTGGGTCGACCCATTAGCCAGTTAGTATATTGAGTATCATTCTTTTTATTATGTCTATAGCATGAGTATGAAATGATAGTTTATTTCATTATAATATCAATTAATTTAAATACATGTTTTATTATAAAATTAAAAATGAAAGAGGGTTTTTTATTTTAAAATACTTTTTCTTTAACACCTTTGATCATGACTCATCTTACTTGTACATATATTAAGAGGGATAATACTATTTATGGAAATAAATGCTGGTTTCCTATAGGGTGTATTATAGGCACTTGAAATTATATGAAAAGAATATGAAAAAAAACTATGTCTTATTAGTAGTTGTGGATTTCCTACTGATTCTGATTTAGAATATTGCTTCAGTCATTCTGTAAAGTTTTATGCACTAAATTATCAGATGAGAAAGAAGTATAGAATTGAAACGTTTCAACTCATGAAGGCTTCTGAATTATTGGATAAGAGCCTTTAACCTACAGAGACCTATAAATTTTCAATTGAAGATGTTCTTGTATACCTACAAAGACCTATGAATTATCAGATGGATTGATTTATTTGATCAAGGTCCTTCAATCCGAAAAGACTTCTGAATTATCTGCCAAAAAGAGAGATATCTATTAGTAAACTTTGGATTAGATAGCATATTTTGATAAGCATAGTTAGGGTATTCTTCTTCAGAAATATTATATAAATAATGGAAGAAGAATACCCTAATAACAGTATTTATAAAAAAATCCTTAGACAATTCAGAGGCCTCTTAACCATTGCATAAACTAATAATGTATGTCTGAGATGAGATTTCCTTCCTTTGGCAACACTATCTAACAGATAGTAAAATAATATTACTTAATAATAGATTGTATTCAAATAATATTAGCATACATCAAATAAATTCTGAATATAATCTGTGGTTTGTTTGTTATTTACTTTGCTAGAATCAAGTGATGTATTTATTAACAATTCTTCAAAAGTAAGATTACTATAAGTATATTGAGTATCTTTTCCATTATTCCAATACACCTTCTTCCCTGTTTGATACAAAGGTAATTTGGGAGAATTCTGACATCAAAAGAACCAACCAAGTGATAATGTGAGTGTTTATTATTGATAGCTTTGAACTTCAACCTATATGTTACGTATAAAGCTAAATTTAGTAATCCAAGTTTCGCTCAGATTGTTTTTAATCCTGATTTTTTAGCACTGTGCAATGCATCTGTATTATCAAATACTTGAGCTATTTTAGGCACTAAATCCTGAAAATATGATATTGATTCAGGAGATTCCATACGCGTTTTAACATCATCAGCTTTATATCGTGTTCTATCATTAATATCTTTAGCAGGTATATAGATCTTTAGTAATTCAAAACAAATTCGATGTCTCTCAGCTCGAGTTATAGTTATAAGCCTATCTTCTCTGTAATCTTTATGAGTGATAGCCTTAACATTTTATTATCAGTATTAACATCTCGTAATTACCTATAAGATCTGAACCATTTTATATGGTTATAATTTCCGTACTTTGAGATAAAATCTTCAGTCAATGATTCAGGCGAAATCTCATAACATTTCACAATATGATGCCAGTTTAGAGAACGCATTTCTTCTAAGGTCTTCTTTGGCTTATTCTCCAAAAATTCAGCAGTTTTGTGATTGATAACAGTAGCGTTAGATATATCTGAATTTCTTCTACTTTTACAATAATGCAATTTGCTTTTATCACTTGCGATAATATATTTTCTTTAAATCTAGGACCTGATTCTATGATCGAAACTTCCATGTCAGCTTTTCGAAGGAAATCAATCATTCTTCAACCAAATAAACCATAAGATCAAAATTTTTCTAACATATAAGCCACTCATAATCGAACAGTTGGTATATCCTTATTCCTGATGATAGAACCTATGTCAAAAAATATTTCTCTGTTCTGAAGTTCTTGAGGAAGACATTCACATTTGGCATTCAACAACCATTGAAATAACCCTTCTTCTATAATGTGAACATTAGATGATATTTATTCGATATAACATATATAATCTTTGATACATCGCATGCAGAATAACATCTGATTCGTCCAAGCATTCATTTCTATAAAACTGTTAAAGATGCAGAATGCTCATTCAAACTTAGGATTAGTGCAAAACATTCCTATCTTTAAAGTACTAATATAGGCAACTAGGTCTACATCTTTCCATGATTCTTCTACATTGCTAAAATCATGAACCTTTTCCTCAGAATCTGATTTACCATAATATTCTTTGATTCGTAATTCTGAAAAACCAGTCTTAAGTATACGAATAATTCCTTGCGTATCCTTTCTGAGGTGACAGATGAGTAATATACTGGTTCGATTCGCAAAAGTTAATGAAGATATCTGCTTGTTCCAATCCTAAAGTTCTGTTAATACAGTCTCTTTATTAGGAGCCAAGCGGAATGTCTTACCTTTTTAGAATTGATAAGTATTGTGGATAATAGAGAATAGTTTATCCTTATAAAGGGCTTTAATCCATTCGATATTTAGATCAGTTAGGTCATTATCCATAACAATAATACGTCTTGCCTTTTGGATTAATTTATATAATTTTTCTATTGATTAACTTACCAAATAACTTTGTGCTTGAGCAATTATAGATACTATTTCATCAAGCCATAAATCATATTGACCCAGAGGACATTTGCATTTTTATTATATTTGAATTTATTAATAATCTGATGTAAACTCTCTATTTGACATATTACCCTCTTGTGATTGGATAGATTTATATTATTATTGATATCACAATATGACTTAAGATTAAGTCTTGTAGTAATAGCATTTAAGTAAGAGTGACGCATAGATAATACTAGCAAATTTACATCATTAGAAATAGCTAAATTATAAGTTTTTTCCGTTTCCCAAAGTGACCCCACATAAATATCACCTTCATTAGATAATTGTCTTACATACCTCTCCTCATATATTTCTGTCACTGTAAGAGAATCATTATACTTAACCCAAGATGGAAATTTTATGAAGATTTTAAGAAAATTAGGGGTTTTTACATTGTAAGATAATTGTGAAGAATTTTTTATTTTCTTGTCTAATTTTTTCTATGATAGATGGGTCATATTCAAAAACTTTCCTAAGTTCATCACTACCTTGCTAAAAGCATTTTATAATAAATGTTTCACTGCTAGCATATATATGACCGAATCATCACTGATCTTTATTATATATACATTTATATAATAAACATTCTAGTGGACCTTGCCGGTTGAAATATACAAAGTTTTCTGAGTCCTTTCTTCAATAATCCAATCCCTAAGATAGTTAAAATGCTTTTGCAAAATAAGGTTCGCATATTTTTGCAATACATCTTAACCTATAATTATTCTTAGTGGATTATTATTTTTTCTACACTAAGTAATCAGGGTTTTACTTCAAGACATAAACTAGTAGATGGTTGAACTCTAGTATGATCAAGCTCGTTCTACCCATTATCTAGAGAGAATTAAAGAATGCGCATTATGTGACCTTTTTTGCTAAACCAATTAGGCGAAGGTTAAAATTTTGACCAAATAATTTTTGATCAATAATTTACCATATTTTTCACTTATTATGGTATATATTAATTCAGTGAATACTTTAAACTCATGATGATCAATAAGTAGAACCAGTGCATATAAAATATGATAATTGCATTTACTAGGATCTGAAGATGTAGTAATTACTAATCCTTTGAGAATTTCTTTCCAATTACAGTCAAGAATTTGATACAAAGCTCTTATAAAAGAGTAACAGATTTGAATAAATACTTCCTGTCCCTTAACACTAGCTATTTCCATATCTTCTTTTGATACATCGATATCAATCACAGCTCTTAAAAGCTTTTGGCCATTAATACATTCTGGGTAAACCATATACTTCTAAAATGTCATCTGCAACAGAAAACTTTAGGGCTCAATCATCTTGATCGATTTTAATAACTAATTTATCTTCTACCTTACTTCGGTCATAAGCGTTATATAAGCTAAAGCCTTTTTATTCAGAAAGAGAAATGAATAAATTGGAAGTTATTCTAATGATCCTTTATTATTTGACATATCTCTAGGTGGTGATGAGAAAATTTCTCGAATGACACTTACCAAATCTTTAGGAGAAAATTTATCATTAAACTTTTCCTTTCTTAAAGTATATATTGTATTAATATTTTGCTCTTGTACATTTGGAAGCTGAACTAATGAAGTCTCAGTAATGCTAGTTGAAGCATAGGGAGCTTCTTCATTATCTGACTCATAATTAGACTCACAATTATTATAATTATCTGACCCTAAGTTGGATCCATTATCAATACAACTGTTAGAGTCACTTAAATTTTCATTAGACTTAACACCATCATAGCGGACGAGCGTTGGGCTAAATCCAGTATGATCAGTTTAATCAGAAATAATTGAGGTATACATGTTGTCAGTTTAAAAAGTTATACTAACTCTATAAAATCAGAAATGTTTAATTTATTTTTTTTCGATGATTGTAAAAAAGAGGCATATAGCACAGTTGGTAAAGAACCAAGAATAAATGCATTTTTGATAGGTATAATCTAAGGTATTCTTCTCCATATTCTTTATATAAAATATTAGAAGAAGAATACCCTAACACTGGTATGTACCTGGATATAGCAAAATTGGAAAAGAAAGTATTCTCGATAGGTACCATTGAGGGTAGATAACTTTAGTATATATATATAAAATAATGAAACTTGCCTACTAGTGATATCTGACTAAACTCTTTTTTTGAAAAATTGTAATTTCGTCAAAAGTTTCGTCTCTTTAATATTTTTATATGAATAAATATAAAATTATTATATTTTTTAATATATTTTAATTCATAATTTCTGCAATTAAGTAAAATAATTTTGTCATTAATAAAACTAGTTTCGTCATTTCGGTTTCGTCAATTTCGTCATATTAAGAAAGGTAATTTCGTCAGGTATCACTATTGCCTACCTAATACTAGATATATAATTCAATCTGAAGGGATAACTTCAGAATTATTATATAAAAAATGGAAGAAGTCCTCATACAAACTTTACAAGCAAATCGTAGAAGAAAGACATCTAGTTGTATCTGGAAAATAAAGTATTTTTCATAATTATATTATATAAAAATGGGAGAAGATTTCACTTTTCTAAATATATATTCAGGTATGCTATTAGCCTTTGTGAAATATAAAGATATATCAAAAAGAGATGTAAAAATAATGTATAGCAGATTAGTAAAAAAATCGTAAATAAACATATTCTTAATAGGTGATACTTAGGGTAGTTTTCTGCATAATCTATTATATAAATATTGGCAGAAGACTATCCTATCACTAGTATATAGTCGGATATATGTATTTTGGGTAGTCTTCTGCATAATCTATTATATAAATATTGATAAAAGACTACCCTATCACTAGTATGTAGTCAGATATATGTATTTTGGATATTCTTCTTCAGAAATATTATATAAATAATGGAAGAAGAATACCCTAACACTAGTATATGCTCAAGCATGGGTACTTTTATTAGTACATTTATTTTTTCAGAAGCTATGACAAACTTAATAAGTAAATCGTAAAAAAAAAGGTATCCAGCTGTATCTGAAAATGAAGGCTTCTGCAAAATTATATTATATAAAAATGGCAGAAGGCTTCATCTGAACTTAATAAGCAAATCGTAGAAGAAAGGCATCTGGTTGTATCTGAAAAATAAAGTATTCTCCATAATTATATTATATAAAAATGGCAGAAGGCTTCTGCAAAATTATATTATATTGTTACCTAACTAATGATTAAGCGGACTGAAACACGTAATCAATTGAGTAGTAGCAAGATTTAATTCAATCTTTATTAAGCCTTGGGAAAGACTTTGGTTAATTCAGATTATTGTTGACTTCAGTATTCTTTCACGACTAAGTTTCAGAATTGGCAAGTATGACAACTTTCAATTCATCACGTAAGACAAATAATTTCCTTTGATGTAGGAAATTTTTAGTTGATATTACAAAGTATTATTTGTAATTAAGTTAATAATGTTTAAGTAATTTAAAGATTACTTAAACCTAGATGACATAGAGCAGGGTTGATAATGTTAAGTAATTTATAATTACTTAACCAAGGTTGACACAAAGCAGGTTGATAACGTTAAGTAATTTAATATTACTTAACCAAGATTGACACAAAGCAGGTTAATAACGTTAAGTAATTCAATATTACTTAATTAAAGTTGATACAAAGCAGGTTAATAACGTTAAGTAATCCAATATTACTTAACCAAGATTGATACAAAGCAATTTATTTGTTACAAGACAATTTAGCAAAGAGTTTTTATTATCTTATAAAATTAACTTCCTAAATTTCTATCGATACATGATGAAAAACTCAGCTTATTTATAATGAAATTTCTACACTAAATTGCTATCTATTGCATAAAAACTATGTAATGATTTCCTTATCTTTTTTATATAATATTGTTGTAATAATTGAGTAATGACTACTTAATCGTTATGCAATAGTCCTTTAACTATAATATATATATATTTGAAGAGATGTAGAGAATATAATTATATTATTATTAAATTATTACTACATCTTTATACTTAGCCTTTGACTAGTTTCTCCTTGAAGTTCCTATTTGGAATTTCTAGTTTAGAAGGTTATGCGTGTCATCATGTGTTAATGATCTATTACTTCATTTCTTCATTAACTGATCTGGTTAATTCTGTAGATCACTTTGGAAGATCATTGGGTCATTGATAAAGATGGCACTGTAATTAAGAAGTTGCAACTCGGTAAGTTGCAACTTGGGTTGCAACTGGTTGCAACTCCTTACAAAATTTATTTTAATATAAAAATGTATAAATAGTTGCAACTCAATGAGTTGCAACTTAAATTGCAACTAATTAAAAATTTTAAAATTAATTACAATTCCATCTTTAGTTATTGATTTTGTAGATCAATTCGCATGATGATCATTTGTGAATCACTTTTACTGTACCACATTTCCAATTCTTAAAGATCATTTGGGTTACAATATAAAAATGGCAGAAGCCTTCACTTTTCTAGATATGTACTCAGGTATAGTATAGCCTTTACATAATATAGAGATATATAAAAAAGGGATGCAAAAGAGATGTATAACAGATTGGTAAAAGTGTAGTCTTTTACAGAATTATATTATATAAAAATGGCAGAAGGTTACATTTTCTTAGATATGTACTCAGTATCCCTTAGATTGTCTAGTAGCAAATTTGCCTGCAAAATTAAAAATAATTGTTAATTTCTTTATAAAATATTAAAAATTAATTTTAGTAATATTATTACTATATAAAAAATATAATTTAATATATATTTTATCAACTTTATTAACAAAGATTT